GGTTTAAGAATTAGCATCTAAAATAATAGGAATCCTAATTATCATACCCATGCTTTTCATGTTAGGTCCATTTTCGTTAAAGGTTTTAATAAAAACAACACACTTAAAATTGAAAATATACATTTCATTTACTTCAATTCTGTGTTGTCTTTTTTTCGAATGACTTCATTGCATTTTGTAATTGTTTACAGAAATGATTTAATAACAACATTACCAAAGTAATTTTCTTAAAAGGTACTATTTAAAAACATAAAATGTTTGCTATGTCTCGTTGAATTTTTTTTTCGTTTTTAAAGCATTTGTTTTCAATCGATTTTGTTAAAAATTGCCAAAAAAAATTTAAAAAATTTTTTGGCCAACTAATATTTTTTCAAATTTTTTCACTTACTTTCAATCCCCTTAAAAAAGTGGGAATTTCTACAATTTTTAAAAAAACCCTTTAAAGTTTTACTACGTATCGTATTTTTTCCACATTGCCCGTGATGAATAAACCCTACGTGTATATTTATTTTGGTGTGGTTTTTGTTGTTTTAAGACTCTTTTCATGCATCAGAAAAGCTTTGGACTAAATAAAATAAAGAATGGCCAATGTACATGATTTTAAATACATTATAAAGGGGCTTTTTAAATTTGGGAGACAAGTGGTCTAGCATTTGACAAAATAGTCTAATGCTTACTTTCAAAGCAACCATCAACCACTAGAACCAAGCTTTATCAATTGTTCAATTTATAAATGAACAATGTCATTTTCGTTCATGATATCGACAATTTCCTGTAGGTCAATCAGACATTTTGTAAAACATTTCGTCGGTTGCAATGTATCACTATTGAGTCTCTTCTTAACATAATCAAATTAAAAGATGAATGGATGAACTTAACGTTATTTTAGATCGATCGCAAACTTTCTAAAACTATATATTATTTGGCTATCATTTCGACTTGTCTGTAGCCGACTAAGTTGTAAACTATTATAAAATGAGAAAACAAAAACACAAGTTTTGTTTCCACTCAAAATTCAAATTTATTTACTTATATTCGATTTAAAACTAGCAAGTAGAGTTACCTCCTCCTTTGTGAAGTTTTGGGTCATGAAGGTGAATAAGCGTGCAAAGTTTCAATGCCATATGTCAATGGACTTTGAAATAATTGAGGAGTTACAAAAACTTAAGCGTAAATTCTAAATCGAAAAAAGGGGCATAATTCTGTAAAAATCCTTGATACAATTACCTTCTCATGTCAACAGGTTAGGGTCATGATGTTAAACAAGTGTACAAAGTTTCAAAGCCATATGTTCATTGACTTTGAAAATATTAGAGGTGTTACAACAACTTTAGCGTAAATTCTAACTAAACAATGGGCCATAATTCTGTCAAAATACTTGATATAAGCACATCAACCTGTCTACAGATTGGGGTCATGATGGTTAATAAGTGTGCAAGTTTCAAAGCCATATGTTTATGGAATTTGAAAAAAATTCAGGTGTTACAAAAACTTTAACATAACATAAATTCTTAGTCAAAATAGGGGCATAATTCTGTCAAAATAATTGATATAAGTACCTCCTCCTGTCTAAAGGTTGGGTCATGATGGTTAACAGGTGTGCAAAGTTTCAAAGCCATTTGTAAATAGACTTTGAAAATATTTGAGGCTTTATACAAAAATTTTAACGTAAATTTTAAGTCAAAAAAGGGCATAATTCTGTCAAAATGCTAGATACAGTAACCGCCTCCTGTCTTCAGGTTTTTGTCATGATGGTTAACATGTGTGCAAAGTTTCAAAGCAATATTTCAATGAACTTTGAAATATATTTAAGGTATTTCAAAAACTTTAAGATGATTGGTTACGCCGACGCTCAGGTGTCTACAATAGCTCTTCTAATTCTTATCGAATAGTCCAGCTAAAAATGATGTTTAGATTGATGACACGTCTTTCCATTCTATAGCTAGTATACTGTTGTCTCTGAAAAATATGACAGAAATCTTTAGGTAAATGATTAGATCTGCAGTTGTCCTATATAATATCAACCATGTTGATAAACAAATTCATATGATTTTAAAGCATGATGATGAATGCAAGGTTGTACGGAAAAGGTTCATTTAGCTATACTTTTTGATAATGCAATTAACTTTAATACATGTAAAATTGAAAGATGATGTTCGTTCGAAACATAGTTTTATGTTTTATATTTTGTATTTAAAATAATAGGAACATTATCTGTATCCATTTTCATGTTAAGATCCATTTGTGTAATCCTTTGATAGAAACACTTTATTAAAAAACATTTTTTGCATTAGATTGAATGCCATTCTGCATGCGTTGTTGACTTCATTGTAATTGCTTACTAAAATAATTGTATGACTTTATTTTTAAAGCAATGTTCTCATATTAGTTTAATTTACTGTCTACATACAATGTCGCTATGGTTTGTTCATTTCTGTTTAATAGCAATAGTTTTAACCGATTTGGTTAAAAAGCTATTATAATTTAACAAAATTTGTAAACAAAATTATAGCTGTGATATTTTAATGCCACTTACTTTCATGTTGTCATGTATGTTAAAATCTATTAAGCACGTTTAAAGTATAATCTGCGTGTCAGTATTTTTACCACTTTGACCGAGCCCTTGAACCTTGATTTATAAATACGTCTCAAGAGTTAAATGAAGCTATTTATAATTGCTGGCGTTGGAGGTAAGTTATCTTTGTTAACTACTTCTTCAAGTGTATTGTACTAATCATGTTTAATCTTAAAAATATGATAATATTTGGACGCGACTGTTACATGTCTGCTTTTAAAGGAAGACACAGGCAAAGTTTTCATTTCTTGAAGTTTTCATACATTATTCTGTAAATGCCCTCAAAATGAATATATTAGACAGTCAAAGGAACAAAACTTTTCTCCATATAAAAAAAATGGTGGTTTCCTAACTTGACCCTCGTGGGTCAGGTTAGAGCGCTAGGATTTCACAATTGTTGTCAAAGTGAGTGACTTAGACTTGTTTAAATCATGCAATATCCACAATATCTGTTATTGTATCTTCAAGGGTTTGTTCAAGTCACCTGGCTTGTTTTAAACCTATTTGGTGATTCTATTGGGGTCTAAATATTGTTCAACATATATAGATTTATTTACGCTTCAAACCCAAAATATATAGAATTTGAAAGGAAATGCATGCTGCAACTTCAAGAAATGTCATTTTAGCGTGATTTGATTACATAAAATCATTTTAATATTTTTGTAATTATTTTGCCTGAATATCCCTTTAAAATTTAGTTATGAATTGCTACACAGTATAAATGTGCTAATTCGTTGTTAAATTAGCCTGATGTAACATACGATGCCAAAATATGTTTTTTCAAGTTGTTAAACATTTTTACTTTACCGATTTTTATGGACTGGTGTGTCACATTGAAATATCTGTGATAACCGCCGTATGAACATATCTGCGAATGTTTCAAAATTCCAAAATTGACCATGCCATGTTAAATGTTTAATACTGCTTAAACCGGTGCAGGGGGGCGTAAACAATAGTTTGAACATGACATTACCGTCCATGAACAGGTTTAACCAAACCGAGCCTGCAGACTGTTCATTTTGCCGCTTTGACTGTCTTTATCTGTTCATAATATCACAATTTTATAATTACCTTGGATGAGCTTTATTCCAAAGATTGCAAAAATAATGGTGTACAATATTTTAATTTATATATGGTATAAGAACAGTAAGATCTTATATATTATAATCGGAAAAGCTTGGTCGGAATCAAATCCAAGAATCGGCCGAGGTACAAGATTCTTAATACACCATCAGCTTCTTTAAAGCTTGGAGGCAAATGCATAAAATTATTTCAAAGCTATCGCAAACTTTACAAAATATAGACGATATGTTATTTAAGAAATAATATATCCCAAACAGTGATTTTATCGCTCCATAACATCACTGTTTGGAGTTCGGATGCGAGGAATTATATCACGAGGGCGTAGCCCGAGTGATATAATGATGCGCATCCGAACGACAAACAGTGATGTTATCAAGCAATAAAATCACTGATTTGGATATATTATTTCGATTCTAACACGACATCAACAAATAAATGTTGCCGAACTTGATAGTTGCGCCTGATTTGTTTCCGTTCTTATTTTCAGCGCGTCGGGTTTTTAGTGGCAACGTCACGTGCATAATGATTACGTCACGTGTCTAAATATAGAACGTCGTGTTAGAATAAGCCATAAGTTTGACATGCCTGGAGCCGGTTGCCGATTTGTTTGGTAAACTACATAACACCGGATCCCGTATTTAGTTATAATTATCCTTATTTTATAACCATATAATACTTTGATTTTTTCTTAATTATATGAACAGGTTTTTCTTCAATAAAACAATATTGAACACTTCAAAATAACATTAAACAATCTTTGATTTTAAGTTATGGCAATATAATACTGATTTATATCTGATCTTTTGGAACACTGATAAAATACATACGTTTGACTCAGTATTGACCAGTAAAATCGGTCGAATAAAATGTAACATGACATGGAAATGTGAATGAATTATGTAGTATATATCTTTGAAAATGAAGATTAAAAAGTTTATGTTCATTGAAACAGCAATGCAAGTAAAGTGGACCTTTATAATAAACAATAATATATGATAAAAAGAAACATAACTATAGTTAAAGGGAAGGCAATTGAGCACACATATAACAAATATTTTTCTTCTTACTCTGCCAAATAAAAGAACCAACGGAACGGTCTTACAAGAACACAGCTTTGTTTAACACAATGTCACGTTGATTGATTGATTGATTGATTTATTTATTTATTCAATGGTCGGGGTGCTGTTTTTGCTACTTAATAACTTTTTAGATGAAACCCTTATCTTTTTTCGAGTAAAATTTCAATTTAGAGGCAACATCATAAACCACTCACTTTCAAGTTTATTTTAGATAATTTTCCGATTTTATATCAGTCCTGACTTTGATTCATATTAATATTATTCAGAAAATATGGGTGTGGATATTCAAACGTACCGGGCGAGAATTGGCACCTACAGTAATTCTAGGGCTGGTGATGTAGTCACAGTGACCAAGCAGGTTAACATCAGAGATGGCATTAAAACTATAGGATGTTTGATATTCATTGGAATTCTTTTAGTGATGGCTGGCATTGAACTTAACCCTGGACCGAGGGAGAAAGGTATTTGTTTAAATTCATTTATATGATGTTTTTTGTTGTTGTTTTTTGTTTTTGTTTTGATGATCACCAAGAAACACAACACATATTGAATTTTTATGCTAACCTCTGAAATACTGAATATTATTTACGAAATGAAATCCCAATCACTGACAGTAGATAAAGATGTACTATACCTTTTATTTGCGAGTGAATAAAACTTGTCTGAGATCGTTATTCGTTAATAGTATTTTATATACACATTTACTGTAACAGTTATAATAATTATTATTCATACGGCAAAATGAAGATTTTTTTTTCAAAAATGAGATAGCACAAAGATAGCCTTGAGTTTTTTTCTGCCAGTCGTATTAAATATAGATCATTTTTTAGATTCAACATCTAAACGGACGCCTGCAAATGCTAAAATTCTTAAAGTGAGCGGCTTGCCAAAAAGCATTGGGAAAGATTCTTTGATAAACATTTTTGAAAATACAAGGCGACAAGGGGGTGGCAATGTTTTAAAAGTAGATATCGATCAGAATGACTCATTTGCTCTTGTTGAGTTTGAGGAGCCGGAAGGTAAGTTGTTACATTGATATTATCACACAAATTGTGTGGCTGTTATATACCGATGTCTAATTAATGAGTTTTTGTCTGCAAAATGTTCCTCTACAGAAGCAAAATGGTGAAATCGAAGGAAAGATAACTAAAAAGCGAGAAAGTAGAAGATGACCGAATAGACCTAGCTTTATATCTTAACTTAATTATGTTGTGAGATCTTACAAAAATAGTGGTGTCTTTATTTCTGTCACAGTCCGTTTCGTTCATTTTGTCTACATAAAATAGTAAATAACATCATTTGAGTCCTTGAGAGATTCACGGACTGAACTTTTTATCTTATTGTCAGATATCCAACTATTCCAATATTATAGAATAATAATATTTTTTTGGAATGCATAATATGTAGGTATTTGAGCTTGAATTTAAAATCAAAATGAAAAGAATGGGGCATATTTCGTCAAGATATGTTTACAATAAAATTATACCATATTTCGATTTTTTTCAGCTTTACAATTAGTGCTGAGGAAAGTACCAATTCAGATAGAGGGTAAAGAAGTATCTGTTGAAATATACAGTGAGTGATAAGTGTCAAAAGAGTGTCACTTTTTTACATTGAAAAACGTTCATCAAAATTTACACCCGTATTTAAGTCTTGGTAGCCTTATATTGCCAGTCATAGATTACTTCTTATCATTAAAGAGGTCCATGCGTATGTCCAAAAGCACACAATATAAAGTTTGCAAATCATATGTTGACCACCTTTGGCATATTAAATAAAAATGTATGAGATACAAACAGACAAATATAAATCTTTGTTTTGTTTTGTTACTTTTCAGTTAAAGCGCATTTTCATTGCGTAGTTCATTTTACGCAATATAAACGAGTAAGTGAATGATCTTAAATTAGGTACACAAGTTATTGGTAAAAACCTACATTATATTGTATAAAATCACGAAAACATATTGTACATTTCAGTTGATGAAGGTTCTATAGGTGATGATAAAAGCCGTGCTGGTGAAGTCTTTGCAGATAAACCCAACAGTCTAGAATCTGGTTCCGATTTTGAGCATGTAAATAAGTCAGGCGCCGGTATGTGTGTTTTAACCATTTTGGTTTTCACCTTTTATTTTATAGGCATTATATTTTCATATCCCGATTACTTTGCTGAACATAAATCAATATATTAATTGGCAGAAAATTGTTTGTTTTTACGTAATAATCCGCCAGGGTGTATTTATCATCGTTTGTAAATAAAATTTGTTAAACGGTTTGGTAGATGAAAGGTCATAGCTGTATTGTGTATGAAGACAGTAATAACTTTTCATATTATATATTTATTCTAGATTACTACTGCCTTTCGGCAGGAATTATGAAAATATGTCTGCATAAATAAAAAGCGCCCTCTATTGGTATTTGAGCGGTCATCCATCTATTCGAGCTGCTTTTAGCAAAATTTGAGAAAATGGTCTTGCCTTGTGCCTGGCAAGAAAACAAATTTAAGTGAACGGGATGTAGTAAGTTAATGTACAGGATTTAGTATTGGAATAATCCCATTTCAGACTAAAACATCTAGAAATTAGACGAAGATGCAGATTTATTTAGTAAATTATCTAATTTATCAGTGTTTTGAGCCTAACAGTAAAAATTCGTTTATTTTATTTTTTTCACACCATCACAACCATAATATAAGATGTAAAGTGTCTGTTGTTATTTATAAGACATAATGAAGTGTCTTCTGAACATTTCAATGAATAAGCATGGTCTGATTTCGGGGATATATCAACTTATCTACACACAAGACAGGTCGATAATTGATCAGACACTTAATTGATTTATTTCTACAAAACAGAATTTGCATGTGACTCCCATAATTTTAGGCTGTCTCGAATGAGCTATATGTCGACTTGGACTTGAGACACTTGATTGACGATTTTAATTTGACAGATTCTTAACTTTTAGATTCAACGTTCACGATCAACTATACCTATGCTTCCACGATGTTGTGTAACCTTAGTGCATAGTTATATGTTGCTGGCTATTATCATCTCTTAGACTAGTTCTCAATGCAAAACTCGAACGAATGATTTGATATTGTTTCGTACAAATTATAATGTTCTACTGAGTGTAAAGTTCTACCAATTTATGATAAAATAAGCTCTACAGAGTTGTACATGTTTCCTACTTACTCAAAGTCGGGCATAAATAGTAGTCTGACAGGATTGAAACGGTTTATAGTTTACCATGATTATATATTCATATTGCATTTTTCATTTTCTATTAATTTTATGAAAATGTTTCACTTTACGATAATTACGTGTGACAACGATCGTTATTCCGTCATCAGCTTACGTGTATGCAAAATAAACAACAACAGTTAATTCTTGGCATCATGTATAAAATGGCATTAGTTTACCTACTTAACCCCGTACACTCGCTTACAGTTTTTCATATTTGTCTTGTTTGTTTGTTTTAATTTACGCCTTTTTCAATCATATAGGCGGGTAGTTTCCTAACCATTGTTCCTGGAGAGTTACACCAGTACTAGACTACCTTCCTCCGCGCTAAACTACCAAAGCATCTCCCGGGGATCGAACCCACGCCAGAGAGGTAACTGGATTAGAAGTCATCGACTCTAACCCCTCGACCACGGAGGCGGTAGTTTTTCATATACAGCCCGTACACAACCGGCCAGACTGTGCACACAAGACAATGCTGTTTTCCGCAAATTTTGCTAAAATTAGCTCGAGTTGATAAGTGACAACTCAAATACAAGTAGAAGTAAAATCTATATTTTGTATTAAAGACTTACTTTGATACAACGAAAGTGTTTTAGGTTTGATTTAATGGTTATTATCAGCGTCGTTCGCAAATTTGAACAAAAACACTACAATTTAACGCCAATTTAGCGAAAAGTATTCAATTTGATAAAAAAAAAACATAACGTTGGGATTATTCGAAGTATGCCATAGTGCCACAAATTACTTTTGTCTGTAGTAGTAATGCAAATTGATTTGCCTTAAGTCGATGGAATTTTAGAAAAAGAAAAAAATGTTTTTTATTACGTCTGAATACAAAAAATGAACCACAATGCAATAAATTTTTCACTGAACCAGTCATTGCATAAATGTGCGTGACTAAAATGTGTACAATCATATATTTAGCAAAATCTTCATGATATGATTTTGTACAGCCACGGATTTGTCTATTCGATAGCTTTAGGCAAGTAGAATATTCTGATTTAATTGTTGATTGAATATTTTTATGATGTAGGGAGCACTATGGTATTGTCATGTCGACAATGTATATATGTTGAACTAAATACTCATTTAGTTCCAACTGTCTAGCTCCTACATTGTATAAGTATCTTACGTGAAAAGTTGTGTGTTGATCCTTAAAATTTCTCAAAAACATTGTGTGCCAATATAAAAAGAAAATGCACCAAATTTTCTTATAAGGCTGTTTTCTTTTGTTGTAGGTGCTAAAGTGACAGCTGTAAAACATGCTATTTCAAAAGGATTTAAAAAAAGTTTCCGAGTTTTCAAGGGTAAAAAAGGTAAACTTACATGCTAGTTATAGTAAATTTTAATAGAGGTATTGATATTTGAATGATTTTAACTTTTGAATGCTTGTTTATGTGATGGGATACACGTAGGATGTAGATATACTGTATTCAATATTCAAGTTCAGATGCATTCTTTGACGAATTGAAGTATTGCCCATCTTCAAACCATGCACATTCATTTTGAGTTGGTTGTAAAAATACTTTATAGTCTGTAATAGTAATTCAAAACATGATTCGTAAGTTTTAATACAATCCTTTTTATTTGTAAAAATTATAACTAAGGGAAATAGGAAAAGATACGGAAATAATTTATTTCCAGTACCCGCAGATATCAATAGTTTCTGTGATCTTAACCTATTAACTTTAATGAAGTTTGAAATTAACTACAGTTTATAACAAACCTACTTTCAGTGTGGGGAAAATTGTTTTTGGGTAGGGTTTATTGATAAAATGTCAACAATCTAAAAGTAAGCCACATTTCTCGTTATTATTTTTCTTTTGGATTCTGGTTCTTTGAAGGTATACTATGCTCAAATTTGATATTAGAAAATATTGATAATTGCTATACTGTCTCTTTGTAAATATAAAATAAACATATTTGTTTTTCTTGTTTCAACTGTGTGTTCCCTCTTGTTGATGTATTTTCATTTAGCATAAGTGTTTGTTGTTATAGCACTTCTCAAGTTTGTTTATCATTTATCATTGGATATCGTCTTTATCTTGGTTTCTATTCATTCTTAAACACTGATTGTTTTGATTTTCTTCGGTTCTCCTTGGGTTTGTGTTAACTTAATTAGCCCTTCATTTATTAGATGTTTTCAAAATACAACTTGTAATTTGAATATTAAGTCATTTTCTAAACTTAATGGGAATCAAAGTTCTTTAAAGTAAACTTTTAATTTAAAATATTACCAGTTTCTTGTATTAATGTTGAATTCTACTTAAACCGCTGCTACAATGGCATAGACCGTTACTTGTTTTTACTATGACCGTCCATGAACAGCCTTAATCAATCCGAGCTGCAACATTTTCAATTTAGGCCATACGCCGCTTGCCATGGAGTAGCAGGAAAGTATCACATTGAAGGTTTCATATGAACACATCTGCAAATGTTTCTAAATTCAATATTAATATTTCCCATTTTTGTGCTGACTTGTTGAATTCTGTTTAAGCCGTTGCTATGGTGTGTGGACGGCCTTCATGCACATGCTCAATCAAACAGAGCATGCAACATTTACAATGATGTTGTTTTAGGCGATCTGTAGGGATTCCGTTTTTCTCTACTTTAGTTCTGTGATATATTCTTAATTTTATTCCTCTGTCTGTATTTCGGATTTAACTGGTATCTCGTAAAACGTTTTATATAATATCATATACATATGAGTTCAAAAGCCATGTCTGGTCTACTTCCTTGTACAGCCCAGTTGATCTGGCCAATAATTTGTCTGTAGGTGGATTGTTCTTCATCTGTAAGAATGTCTTCTTTCTGTTGCACCCTCTTAGTATCTAAACTTTGTGTTTTTATATTTCCTACATACCGGGATTGGTCTAGCAAAATTTCACTGGACTGTTGCATGACTCTGAATCCAATATAATCAAAATTGCCTTCCTCTACTTTTCCAGCTACAAACCTTTTTCGCAGACTTATCATAATTCTCTCAAGGCATTCATTTCCAGCATGTAAAAAATCATCAACATGGCAACATATTAAACCGCTCAACTGTCCATTTGTATGCAAAAAGAACATTGCAGGATCCATTTTAGACATTTGACATCTCAGCAAGTCTCAGCAATTCTTCCTTTACACTGAGATAAAAATGTCTTGCACCAACTGTCCATTTGTATGCAAAAAGAACATTGCAGGATCCATTTTAGACATTTGACATCTCAGCAAGTCTCAGCAATTCTTCCTTTACACTGAGATAAAAATGTCTTGCACCATCCTTGAGTCCATACAGTCCATGACGTAATTTCCAGACAACTCCTTCAGCCTTTTCACACTCCTTTGGGGGCTTAATGTACACATCCCTTTTTATCTCTTGACCTTGTAAAAATGCAGACTCAATGTCAGTGGTCTTGACAATCCAATTGTCAATAGATGCAAAAGCAAGAAACATTCTCATAGTTCCTTTTCCCACTGTTGGACTGTCACTTTGCATTTAGAATTCTTCTTCAAAGCCTCTTACAACAAGACGGGCTTTTGTCTGTTCATTTTTTGTTGTTATGACCCATCTAGTTGATAATGTATTTTGGCCACAATCCTTGACTTCTACGTATGTACCGAATTCTTTCAATTTCTGTAATTCAGCAAGTTTTGCCTCTGAGACATTATTGTTAACTTTACAGTTCTCCAACACTAGGTTCACATTGTCATTCACCAGTTCCCAGTCAACTTGATCCAGATTGATACTCTTCTTCTCTTTACTGATGTCTTCCATAACATTATATCAGTGTTTGTTCTTCCCTGTTGCCTTTCCTGTCCTTCCAATAACTTTTGCATGGATCCAAACATCAGTGTCTTCTGTTTTATACTGAATATTATCATTGGGTTTCAGAAACTTTCTATCTTGTGTCTGTCTATCTCTGTCAGACCCGACAATTGGTATCTCTTCTAGCCTTGTTTGTAAATTATCATCAGCATTTCTTGCAGGTAGTTCTTCAGAAATCATTTGTTGATCATCTGTGTTTGTCAATTCTTGCTGAACCTTGGTCCCTCCATCTGCATCTGAACTTTGATCATGGTCTTCTCTATCCCACAAATTGTTCACTTTTTGAAGTCTATTAGAAGATACACGCACAAAAACTGCTCCGTGTCGCACAAACACTATTTTCCCATCTTGGAAAACTACCTTTCCTGGTCCAAGCCAGCATTCTCGACCCTCTCTCTTGTATAAAACACGGTCTCCATGTTCAAACACTTGTTCTGAAGCTCTTACCTTATTTCTTAGTGCTTTTCTTACTCTTTCATCAGCTTCAGACTGTATAAAAGCCCTTCGAGTTACATGCAGAACATTAAAGTGCTTTGCAAAAGCTTCACTGCTAGTCGTTCCTTGTAAAGCTGGCACATTTTCGCTCATGGTGTTTGGAATGTTGGGGTTCTGGCCAAAGACAAGTTGATGGCTGCTGTAACCATTCCACATTTGCAAAGAATTCCTCGCCATATTTGCCCATGATAGAAGTGTCTGCAAATTTACCTTTTCATAATCTGCATGGAGCTTGGTCAGCATCATATCAGTAATTGCATGCACTCTTTGACACACTCCATTTTGAAATGGACTGTCAGCTGCAGTTGTACATAACCGAATATTTAGTATGGATGTAATTTCCCTTACCTCATCCAAATTGAACTCCCCTCCGTTGTCTGTCTTCAAAGATCTCATCACTCAAAATCGCCAAACCCATCCTTTCATCAAAGCATTTATGATATTACATGGCTTCTTTCTGTTTACAAAAGCGGACAAAGTGTATCTTGACCACATGTCTATGATATGTAGTATCCAGCGCCCATATATTGCAAAGTATCTCTACATTTTATAACATACATAAATAATTATATTGCCGTCTCTTGATAGTGTTTATATTGCGCCCTTGCGCTCAAAACGACGGAATGGAAATTTTTTAAAACTTCAAAGCATATTGATGTATATGTAATAATCAGTGTAACGAAAGTCCGCTAAAACAATTTTTTCATTTATATCTTATATTCTAACACGATTCACACTATTCACATATCATTAATACACGATAAATTCATAAAATAAAAAACAAATGCACGTTATATGACATCATGTATGACGTCAAAAAACCATATGACGTCAGGAAAATTTCTCCTAAGCAAAATGTAATGCAACATATTTCTATCAATTATCTTTTTATAAGCATGTTAGAATTGAAACAGACAGAAATTGCTCGTGCAATTCAGTATAAGAGTGCCAAGTAAATGGTTCAAATGCTTTGTAGTTATTCACTCAAGTAAATCGGTCTTTACGCATTTGAACTTGAACCATGTAGTATTCTACAACAATGCATTCAAAATTGATATCTTTAATCTAAATGTTAATATTTTTGCTCTTTTTGATGCTTTGTCCTGACAAAATCCTTTGAACATGGAGAAATACTTTAAAGGCATTTCCCTTTTGATATATTAATTATACATGATATATAAATAAATAGTCAAATCGATGAAAATCAATTTTCCTATGAAATGTAAACAACGTACGTGAATGAAGAAACTCACTTAGAACGGGAAATGAAATTGCAAATATAACAATATTGATTTAACGTTAACAGGCAAATCTGATAAAATGGAACAAACACAAAACAAACAATTTTGGTCGTAGCTAACTATTTTACGCCTATTTAAGTACAAATTTACATTAATATGGGAGCCTAGTCATATTTGAATTAACGTCAACGAATGTGTGCTAAATATGCAAGCCACAATGGTATTCCATGCAAGTGACATGCATTTCTGCTGAGTGATATGGAAGCATTCAATTAAACGCGACGTCCATAGACACAAATAGATACTTTATGATCCTCCGCGAGAATTAGCTGAACAAATAAGTACCGCAGTATTAACATTCATAAAAGAAATTAAATATACAAATATAATCTAAACTGTGCGTTGACTGCTGATTTTCAAATACATATTTGAAATGCCACGGATGGACATAAATGACAGATATGTATTATGATGACGTGTTTTGTCCACTAGACTACAGTACAGCCAATACCCAAGTTAACGATATTACATGATTCAGTACAAAACTATTAAATTACGGCAATACGCTTTATCTATTAAACTATAAATTCCTATTTGAACACATTAAATAATTGCCATATGTAATGTGCCTAACACGTATCGTCTGTCACGCGGCGGAATATCACGGATACCTCCGAAAAAAAATATACCGAGTCATAACTTATGTTCTTTATAATATGGTGTTTTGAATGCACTGACAACTTTTGATAGTAATTCTTTTATGTTTGTGAGTAGAAAATGCGC